AAAAACAACACTTCAGGTCAAAAAGCTGAATGCTTGGTGCTTGTAAATGGCTAGCATGTGTCACAGAAAGTCTTTCTCTTTTACACATTGCATTTGTATTTCCCCGTGTAGTCTGTTCCCTGAGTGCGCTCTTCAGTCAAGGTGACAGACTTGCCTGTTGTTGTCAGAGCTTTTCACACCAAAGCCCCGATAACGTCAGAGCTTTCGCACAACGAAAAACAGAGATGAGAAAAGGGGATGACAGACTTAAAGAAAGGCAGGAAAGAAATCATTTGAGCTCCCTTTACAAGTAGGACAGACTGTCCATTTACGTATTTAGTCTGCATGAGCACAAACAACACACACACAGTCCTCGGTTTGACAGTCATGACAGCAAAACAGCTTATAGAAACTTTGTAAATTTCCCTTAAATTGACCTCGACAAAGCAATGCAACACTAAATATGTAGATATAACTGAAAAACAGGGGATTTTAAAAAGCTTTGGGGGTCATTTTTAGATTAAACAGACCCAATGAACAATACGCCCCCTCTTCTCCGATGTTGTTTTGTGTAATTGAACGCCAAAAGCCACAGAATCGGCTCCATTTGCTAGGAAATAACCTACACACACACACACAGTCCGTTTTTTTTAATTCTTTTTTTTATACAGAGTAGCTGTTTGGATATGTGACACTGCTGCTTTGCTTGGGTGGCTCAGACACAAAATGTAATATGATGCAATGCCGGTGATAGCCCCAAGATCTCAGCGGTATTCTGCAGTAATAGTACGGCTTTGATTGATGGAAAGCTCAAGGCAAAATGTCGGCGCCTCCGAGGTCTTCATCGAGACAAGAGAACTTTGTTACTCTCTGAAATAAGCTCATCTTCAAGAGCTGACGTGACATTTCAATCTATCCGTCTGTCTGGCCGCGTTTTTCCTCCGAAAAAGTTTCATCTCTGCACTCAAGTCCCAAAGGTTTTTAACTGTATACACTCTTTTGTAACTGCTTTGCATTTAATTACAAACCTGCAGTGTGTGTGTGTGTGTGTGTGTGTGTGTGTGTGTGTGTGTGTGTGTGTGTGTGTGTGTGTGTGTGTGTGTGTGTGTGTACACAGTGACCAACAAACACACAGACGCACACTAATATCACGCTTATTGTCAGTTTTCTCCAGGGAGTCTGGGTGTTTGTTAAATCCAGGGTTTGCCTTGTCCGTCTCCCGCTCTGTCTCTTTGTGTGTGTGATGATGTGTGTGTGTGTGTGTGTGTGTGTGTGTGTGTGTGTGTGTGTGTGTGTGTGTGTGTGTGTTGTGTGTGTGTGTGTGTGTGTGTGTGTGCGTGTGTGTTTGAACAGGGCTCTGCGTTTGCTTGTGCAGGCACTCTGAAGCATCTGTGTTTACCGTCTCAACAGAGAGCGAGGGATAGAGAGAGAGAGAGATTGAGATAGACAAACCGTGGACACACACAGACATGCCAGCCTCTGCAATGAAAACAAACGCTCCTTTGCCAGTCTTCCCACACTCGCTCTCTTCCTCTCTCTGTCTGTCTGTCTCTCCCTCTCTCTCTCTGTCTGTCTGTCCTTCCATCTCTCGCACATTCCCCCGATACAAGTGATGCCTTTAAACTTTAATGTGTCCAACTTGTTCCTAGTTGCTTGTTTAAATAGAAATCATAACTTGGGACTTGCCTGTCTTCAGATTAGACTTGGCTGTCGTGACTTTAAACCCAGTTTTCAGACTTTTGGACTCACCTGTCCGGACGTGTAAAAATAATAAATAATAAAAAAGGGGGAAAAACAGGGAGAACGTTTAGGACTCGGGACTTATCTTTATTGTTGTAGGGCTCGACTTTTTGCACATGTAAGTGAGATAACTGCTGGGTTGCAGGACTGTAAGGCACCAGTTGTATTTATCACTGCTCTCAGCCCCGAGTGTCGGCCAGAACACCACCGACGGCCGGGATGAACTCTCTGTAGCACAACCCCGTCATGGAGAATAAGAGGCGGACTCAAAGGACGGGTCGATGGGCGATTGCATTCAAAAGGAGTATGTGTGCGGTTTTCTGTCAGTAAACAAAGACATTAATGCAAGAGTTACAATACAGTTCAAATAATGTGAAATAAAACACAGTACGTCATGCAGGCTGACGTGCAACTTAAAGCGGGAGCGGATTGGCTGTCTTTGTACTGGACTGTCATGAGTCTGGTCTTGATTAGGACTTGATTGTATTATTATTATTATTATTATCATTATTGTAATTAAAAGGACTGCACAACTGCCCAGTAGACAAATGAAGCCTGAGCCTGAACACAGTGATGGACGTACACTCTTGCTGTGGATGTGAAGATCTGAGCCGACAGCGTCAGGGAAAGAAAATAAGCTGTTTTTTTCATGTCTAGACAGCAGCTTTGTGTTTAAGTATTATTCTTGTGCAATTTGTTTCAATTTATCTTTCTATCTCACTATTCCCCTCTCTCACAAAACTCTTCGCTTTCCTCTTCTCTTATGTTTCTCTCTCTTCTTCTTCCCCCCCTTTATCTGTTTCACGCCTCCCTCCTCCCTCCCCGCTCTCTGTCTCCCTTTCTCTCCCTGTCTTTTAGCCGGTTGTTTGTGTCTGCTTTTGACTGACAGAACTTCAGTCTTGGTGACACAAAGTAAACCAAACTGTGAAAAAGACAGAAACACGGAAAGAATTTCTTGAAAAAAAAAAAAAGAAGAAGAAGAAAGAAAGAGAAAGAAAGAAAGAAAGGAAGGAAAGAGCTGTCTGTGACTTTTGTACCCATCTTAATGTCCTATCAACAGTTTGGGAATCATTGTTACTGTTGAGCCGAGGCAGCTGGAGAACACTAGCTAAGGTCATAGGCCATGGGTGCATGTGTGTGTTTCTGTCTCTGTGTGTGTTTAGTCTTTAAAAATGTCTGACAAGGGCCAAGTACTGAGGGGAATGGCCTAGACGCATCTTGAAAACACAAGACTGTTATTATCCAAAGCCTCTTTGGGACTTTGAGAGTTGTCCTCTTTCACGCAACTTTGTTGTCGACTCAAGCTGTGTTTAAAAAAAAAAAAAAAAAAAACCCCAAAAAACAATTAAATCTGGATCAAAGATCAATCATGTTACTCTTACTGCTGCTCTTAATATTAAACACAGTTTATTTATGGGTTCTTTTACAAACTGATACCATATTGTAACAGACATGCACAGTGCACTCATCTCTGCAATCTGCAACTCCCACTATAGCACAGAAGATAAAACACTGAACACTGATGAAGACTACTCCCTCTGTGCACCCACGACACATTTATGAGGAATAGCTCCTCTGATAAAATCTTACAAGTATTAGTTTTGGTTATACTGGCCTTAGAAAAGCGACGTTGTTTTAATCCTCCTTTCTGTTAGCCTGGGAACTGTTCACTTCATGGGCAGAAAACAGGACGTTTCCTTTATTTGTTTTGATAAACCTTCACAGTCTTTATTTTTAGTTTAACAATCAGTCATTTTAAATAAAAACTGGATTACCAAAGTGTTTTCAACATAATAAATGAATATTAAATGCACAGTTAGTCCCTGTGCAAACATGCGTCTCAGGTGATCTGATCACAAGTGGACAACTCTTAAGTACGTCACTTCACAGTGAGTTAAAATCTTTCTCGAGTCTCGAGTGACCACTTGTGATCGTATCTCACTTCTCCGCTCCATATGAAAATAGACACGCACTTCGTTTCTGTTTGCAAAGACCAAATGTGTTATTGTTTTCAGTCAGTTCGACTATGACAGACAGGTCTGCTGTCAATGTGTTTGTGTGGGGGAGAGAGAGAGAGAGAGAGAGAGAGAGAGAGAGAGAGAGAGAGAGAGAGAGAGAGAGAGAGAGAGAGGGAGAGAGAGAGAGAGAGAGAGAGAGAGAGATAAGGACAAGGAGGGACTGAGTGAATCAATGTGCTGCACACTGCTCTACAGTGAAATAAGATTTTACCAATTTGAAATAGTAAAAGAAAATAGAAAGTCAATATGTGGAGGTCAATGCTGATATTGTGGCGAGCTGCCACAATATATATGTATGGGAAACACCATAAAAATATGTATATAAATCAGACTGTGGCGGAGGACTTCAGTTAAGTAGACAGTCCTTCAAACTGCCAAAAGAATGTGGCCATATGTGGCCCAGACCCGCTCCCGATATCAAATGTGTCCTCGATGCATCTCGGCTGCGTTCACATCTGTACTGAGGGCTGTCCAGATGTGATTGGATCCCCCGAGACGCATGTTAATGCCTGGTCTGGACAGGGCCGCAGGGAGAACTGTTATGACAGCGGTCTTGTAGTAGTAATATACAAAATTGCATAAATCCAGTCGTTTCCTAGTCTTACCTCTCAGTCTCTCCTCCCTTTTAGTCCAGACCGAACTATCTCAATTACTATTTAATGGATTGCCATCGGCATTCCAGGTTCCCAGTGGATGAGTCTCAATTACATTTGTGATCCCCTGATTTCTCCTCTAGTGCCAACAGCAGTTTTACAATTACAGTTTGGAGTAACATATCTTGGAAAATATTAATTGAGTTGCCATGAAAAGTTGCTACGTACATTCATGATCCCTAGTGGATGAATTCTAATGACTTCAGTCTTCAGCGCCACCAGCAGATTGAAGTTGTGTGCATTGAAACTAGAAGAGAACGTAGAAGTGAAGATCTTTCTTTATGGATATGCACCAAACTTTGTACAGACGTTCACGGTTCGCAATAAGATGACTCGTCATGACGATCCTCGGACATTACATCCACCTCCACCTTTTCAAACTTGTAAGCAAAGACCAGATCTATCACGTATTGCATATGCTACTTGAAATAACATCTGTCTCAGGGTTGAGCCCCTTTAGAGAAGTGCAGTTGTGGGTTTGCATTGCAAGGCTAGCTGCTCCCTGTGGCAATGGTTATCTAATCCACTGCTTGGGGTGATTTGGATTCTCTTTAACTAGCAGTTTTTTCACATGTTAAAACGAAATATTCCATTCATTTTGTTTTTCTAGATCATCGATGAGGAGGACACGCAGTTCATGACCAACTGTCCCCCCGCAGTGACGGAGAGCACGCCTCGCAGACGCACCAGGATACAGGTGTTCTGGACGGCACCGCCGACTGGGACTGGCTGTGTTATACTGAAGTGGGTTTCATTTTTTTTGTCTTAATTATGTGCCTACATTTAAATAAGATTAAACCTTCGTACATCACAGTGACGATTTAACCCATTTGGTGTTAAACGAAGTCACCTCACATGGTAATACAGTTGCAAGCAGGGGCAGTTTTGAAAAGTAAACAGCTTCAAAAGCTTTTAAAGTCACTTACTAAAAATGCTGACATTAATGAGCTGCATTCACAAACAGCGGGAAAATAAGTAGCTGCCTAAAAGAAAGGAAATACATTCAAAAACCATATGCTGTGCTTTAACTACTTGATAACATTAAAAACTACAGGTATAGTCTGTGAAGTTATACGCAGTCTTTTTTCCCACAGCACAAACACTTGATCTACAAGTTAAAAAACCTGAGTGCTGGACTTCTACACCACCCACGAAAACTGCATCCTGCCACGGTCATTGTTGTTTTTACAGATAGTCATTATTGGTTATAGGGAACACAATAACTAAGCTATTGCCAGGTGTTCCTCGAGAAGCTCTGACACACTGTGTGGCTGGTGTGAAGGGACCGGCGCTGCAACAAAGAGACAGATGATGATTACGGGGGGCAATTTGTGGTTTGAAGCAGGTGTGACTCAAAAACCTGCACTGTTATTTCATGATTGATGTGTGTGTGTGTGTGTGTAGGTAGGTGTGTGTGTGTGTGTGTCTGACCTTAGTTTTTTGTCACTGTGTTAAATAGCAGCAACAACTCCAAGAATACTCTGAAACTCTGAATTAGACTGAATCAGATTAGTGGGCTGTATTATTTAATTCGAACTCATTTGAAAGGCATTACCTGCTCGTTTTCGCAGCGATTTCAGCGTTTCCTCATAAAGAAAAGATGCTGGGGTGATTGTAGTGGTGGAGTGGTAACTAAGGATATATGTAAGGCATAAATATTAATAACACAAAGGCCATGAGTTCGGTGTTCAAACTTAGAGCCTGGCCGATACATCAGCTGAAGTTGGCTTGTCGCACATACACCAGTATTAGCTGACTAGTTGGACAATTATAAATAAGAAAATACAGTACAGGAATTGAAAGACATGTTTAAGGTAATTTAGAAAGTGCCATTATTACATAATGCGTCCACCTAATAGAACTGACAAGTTTATTTTTTAACTGTGAAATCTGGCGTGTTGTAAACACAACATGGACACCTTATAACACCTTATAAAGCTGATATGGCTAACGTGTTAGCAAACAGTAGCCACATTCAGTAGACACAGCATTCATTTACAGTCGTGTTTCCGTTCACCTGTTACTTCTGTTTTGGTCTCCGCCAGCTAATGAGAAAAATATCTGGCTATTTATCTGATCAATGAGCCACTATGTTCACCAGCTAGCTGCTAACTGTGGGCAGGTTAGTGTCTTTTCTTGCCGAGAACAGTTGATGAGAGCTGAGGGGAACTCAAGAGTTGGGTGTGTTGTTTTCGACCCACTGTTGATAAAAAAAAAGATTGATTAGTGCAGCTTTAAGTCTCAAATATCAATATCTGCCTCCTGGTTGGGCTCTATTCAGATGTAGGCCAATGATTACCAGGTTGACATTGACTATAGCTATCACTCTTTCCTAATATGAAGATGATTTTTGTTTTTTTCCCAGACATCAGAGCATGTGCAAATTTGTCTTTTGGTGTTGGTAATGTTGTTGCAAACCGACACTCAAATACACACTCAACAACCCACGTTCCTGAGATTGGGTAAAAGGGAAGGGGAGACCAAATGGCCCCGAGTACAACATCATCAACAGCATCAGAAAAAAATATAAATGTATGAAAACACATTTTAGACACATATTCATCATATGTAGTGAGAATAAATACAACACGTTACCACCAGGGATGTAGAAAGGTACATCAGGCCTCTGAGGCAGATGTGCTAATTATCACTTCTATAAGTCTAATGCACGACATACAGTCAACCAGAAGTGATGTGAAGCTATTCTGGAGTTGGTGCGAGACGAGCTTGATGATTATCTTGTGACTTTAATGATGTTTTGCTTCATCTCTAACTAACCCTCACAGACTGAAAGACTTTGAAAAGTTGAATATCCCTCCAGTAAGAAACTTTAAACAAGGGAAAACATTTTTTTTTTTTTTTTTTTAATGAAAAAGGCACTTTCACAATGAATCATGATTAGACGTTCTTTGTGCTGCTACACCTCTAGCAGACTTTCAGTGTATTATATTAACGGCAGCTTTAATGTCATCCACAGTTAGTGTTTGTACCGTCACCTCAGCTCATGCTGCGGTTTAAAACAGTTTGAATTTGACTGAACGTAGTGGAGTGGAGCAAAGTCTGAGTTTTGCCCTCGGACTAAAACACTTTGACGCTCGTGTCATGATGAACACATTAATTCTTAATGTTGTTCTTACAAAAGCTGTGGGTTGCTGTGTGAATTATGGCTAGGTATAGAGAGAGCAAGAAGACAAAAAGACTGACTTAAGGAGAAAGAAAGATGGGAATCATTTTTCCCACGACTGTGATTTATGCCTCTGCAAGAGTTGTATGAGAACAAATAGCTCTTACAATTAATACATGATGAAGTGTAAAGTGTAATTCACGCCGCCTGCGTGAGCACAAACAAATCTTACGTGGGCTCGTACAGCTACACTGAGTTATGGCGATATGTAGCAGCGAGCCACTTTTTGACGAATGGAGAATACAAATGATAAACAGCCGATAACTCAGAGTGAATGTGAGTCTGAAAATATTTCTCCTTCTGTCTGTTTTGCAACAGTTCTGCCTTTTCCCTTTCCCTCTCTCTCTCTCTCGTCTCCATCTCCTCCCTGACACGCATCTCTTCCTCCTCTGAGCAAGATGCTATAACTTGCCCTTACCTCCACAGTATACTCACAGCTGTTACTTTTAATTTATCTGCCGCTGCTGTATGACAGATGGCACGTAGCCATCCCAGTGTTTGCTAGTTCAATAAATCTAGCCCTGCGTAGGGGAACATCTGCTATGCAAATTCACCTCATATTACTGTCACTTTTGTCTGTCAGCGGTGAGAAAGAGATTTAGCATTACCTCATCTAACACGTATGCCTTTCTGTTTCACCCATAACTGCCCGCTCTTTGCTGTTGTGACTTGCTCCTCACTTCGTCTTTGTTCAGACCGATTTGCAGCTTTTCCCCCCAATTGTGCTACAGAAGCAATTTCATAACGGTCAGCGAGATACTTAGCAGCAGGTCTGTGCCATAGAACATCACTATAGTGGACAACATTAGCGGCAGTCTCCGGTGAATCCTGTCTCATTGTACCGGCCAGTGTCAGAGATAAAAGAAAGAAAATTAACTTTAACAATGAATCTTCACACCAAATTGCACATTTTCACTTCACATCCCACATCATCCTGCACCGTGGGAATACTCTTCTTCTCCTTCTCCTCTCTGCTTTATCTTGCAGTCTGTTTTCTCTCTACTGCCCGGCGCTCGGTTATAGACTATGCTGCTAGTCCAGGATGTCAAGCACATGTCTCTCAGCTCATTCCAAGAAGCTTCAAAATCACCTCCTTACAGTTGGGAGTGTTCCAGTAGCTTCCCTGCTTCATGCAAGTCTCACTGGTCCTTTCACTAGTGGAGCAGGCCTCCAGGATTGTTTTTTTTTTCAATTTGATGCCAACTTCAACACCTGCTATTTCAAAATCAGTGCAATTATATTTTTGGAGGAGGGGTGACAAAGCTCTCTGTGACAGCTGTAGTGCTTAAACAGAGGGACAAGTTTTTAATTACAACATTAGCTGGAGATTTTTTTGGTTTTAATATTTTTTGTTTTATTTGTAAATACTCTAATAACATATATTGACTTTGTTGCTGAGAATTAGATGAGATTGATACCGCTCTTATATCTCTGTGGAAAAGGCTACAACCAGCAGCTAGTTAGCTTAGCTTATCATAAAGACTGGAAACAGGGATAAGCAGCTAGCTCTGCCTTGCTAGCAGGGTAATAAACCTTCCAAGTTTGGGCTACCTGAGCACAAAAGACAGGACTGTTGCTAGTTAGCTGTCGCACTCACTAGCTGGGACAGAGTGTCTGACCAAATTGTTTTGCTGCGTGCCCGCTGCATCTCTTCTTCTGCCCAGTGCTTTGGGTATGACAATAGCTTATTCAAACCTGTCGTTTTGATATTTCCATCATTTAGATATCCGTTTGTAAATCCTGCAGAATGCTGCTAACCCGATCTATTTCCTGCATAGCCTTCTCCAAAGTAACTGGTAGTTCTGTCGGGACGTTCGTTGCCATGGAGTCTGGAGTCTCAGTGAAGCTACCTAACTTGTTGCTGCTAGCCATGTTAGCATTAGTAGCAGCCTGCCTTGCTGTGCTTGTTGTCGAATTTGATGTTGCCATCTTCCACAAGTCCTGTTAGACAACTACTAGGTAGCATAGATAAGGGTAATAGGTTATTTGACATTATACTCTTTTGAGGCAGCTATCATGGTCAATGGTCCCCAATTGAAAACAGCAATTGATCATTTAGATAATTCTTTAATAACCAGTTCCAGCTGGTCTGATGTGAATAGTTGATGTGTTTTAGTCTAGGATAGTACATCTGGTATCTGGGTTTTTAGTTGCTGGTTGGATAAAACATCCAGTTTGAGTAAGTCCTCATGGGCTTAGAGACTTTTATAGGCATTACCCCTATTTCCTGACATTTTATAAAACAAACTGAATGAATAAAATTGAATTGATAAAGTAGTCTGCGATTTAATTGGTAAGGAACAGGAGTTAGTTGTAGCCCTATTTAAGACTCCACTTTTTAATGATCACATTTACTACAAAAATTCACTTGGGACTAAACTTTTTTCCTCCCTGAAGTGATTTGAAAGCTGAACACCTGAGAGAAGTCAGCTGTTAAACACACTCATAAGTTTGTTGGCAAGAACATGGAGGAAGAACATGTCAGCGGCTTTTAAATAGCACTCTCAAACATGTGTTATCGCTGCTCGTCTCAGCTGTTACTGGCACTGGAACTAACAAC